AAAAAAAAAAAAAAAAAAAAAGGAAGAAAAAAAAACAACACAAAACATCTTCCAAGATCATAAATTCTATCACGATTTCTTTTCATTAAGCCATGACAGAGTTAGGGTTAAACTGGGACCAGCCAGAGTAATGCCATTTCTCCTTTTAAGATTTCAAAACAAAGGCAATCCCCAGCTCCTTAAAGGATATGTACCTTCTCTGTTCTGTAGACCAACCCTAACCAACTCTAACTGCAAGTTAGGAGTGTGTTTCCAGAACTGTTAGTGCTTTTTATACACTTTCTAACAAAACACTTCTAGGTACAAGCACTAATACAGTGACTAAGGAACACTCTTCCCTCCAACCCAATGATATCTTAAGACTCAAAATTTAACCACCAACAACAAAGATCTTACCTAAGATTTCAAGTAGATCATTAGTAAATGCCTGAAATGCTGGGAAAAATTCCTCATGTTCTTCCAATTTGTTGATAATGCTTTTAAAAAAAATGCACAGTTTACACTGAATTTCCAACTTAAGGTTTGCATTTGATTGAAAATAAAACATTTTCAAAATGTTAGGAAATTTCCTGCTAATTTAAATATAAATGTAATAATCATTTACTGCAATCCTTGATTTTTGAGCTCTGTGTTGACCTTTTACTATGTTTGTAGAGAAATATCTATTATCAGTGTAAACACGTGTTCCAAAGTTAAATTTATGTAACACTCCTGATGTGGAAAACTTTCCATTTAGCTCAAGGATTTTTAAGAGACCTTGCTTTTTAACGTTTTCTAAAAATTGTTTTTTATATCCAGTATTCTATTAAACATTAAGAATAAGTATCAGTAGACAGTATAAATATGGGAAGGGAAAAAAGACCAATAATGAGAGCTATGCTCCTTTTAAAAGCAGCAAGTATCAGGGGCGCCTGAGTGGCTCAGTTGTTAAGCATCTGACTTCAGCTCAAGTCATGATTTCATGGTTCCTGAGTTTGAGTCCCATATCAGGTGAGCTGGAGCCCTGCTTCTCTCTCCACACCCCCTCACTCACTTGTGCCCTCTCTCTCAAAAAATAAAAACAAACAAAAAAACCCACTTGTTTTGAGGTACCTGGGTGGTTCAGTTGGTTGAGCAGCGGCCAACTCTTGATTTCAGCTCAGGTCTTGATCTCACATTCCTGAGTTTAATCCCAGCATTGGGCTTTGCGCTCACAGCATGGAACCTGCTTCTGATCCTCTGTCTCCCTCTTTCTGCCCCTACCCCGCTCATGCTCTCCTCCCATTTCTCTCTCCTTCTCTCTCGAAAACATTTTTTTTACTGTTTATTTTTGAGAGAGAGAGAGAGAGAGAAAGACAGAGAGAGAGAGAGACAGAGTGAGAGCCAGGGAGGGTCAGAGAAAGAGACAGACAGAATGGGAAGCAGGCTCCAGGCTCTGAGCTGTCAGCACAGAGCCTGATGCGGTGCTCAAACCCACAAGTCTTAAGACCATGACCTGAGCCAAAGTCAGGTGCTTAACCGACTGAGCCACGCAGGTGCCCCTCTCTCACTCTTAAAAATAAATAAAAGTTAAAAAAAAATTAAAAAAAAAAAGCATCAAGTATCAGAAAACTCAAGTGTCAGATTAGGTAAGGATATTTCTTGGAAAACTTACATAATATATGGAATAGGTGGTTTATGTATATGTTCCTCTTCCCATATGTTACAGTACCAAATTGGGGGGAGGGGGTGGGAGAGTTGCTTGAAGTATAGCTAGAATGTTTCAATATTTTTTAAAAAAATCAGATCTTATTTTAGAGATGACTAGCTTTAAAAAAAATCCTTAACATTTATCTTTTAATCAAATAATACACTGTTAGTGATTATTAAGTGGTCTATGGTGGTATATTAAAAATAGGACTGGTTTATATATTCTGAACACTTACATGATGTTGCTAATAAGGTCTGAATTTCTCCATATATATAATTTCCCCTGGGAACAGGCTTAGAGCAGTAATGCTGGAGTCCTGACCCACCCTATATAAACTTAGAGGCCCTACAATGTATTTTTACCTTGAAAATGGTTGGCATTCTCTCCATCTATCTATAAGGTGTGAGATATTTTAGACTGTCAAATTATTTAAAAGATGCTATCCCAAACAGGAAAGGTAAATAACTTATAAAGTTTTGAAAGTCTTTAATTTCATCACTCCAAGCATTTTGGATAATATTTTGCAAACTTTTTAAAATAAATACCTTTGGAGATCTTCAGGTCCTAATACCTGCATAACCTGCTCATTCATATTCTCATTAATCAGCCTACACAATTTTCCAACTGTGCTCACCAACACACACAATGAAGTTGAACTATCTGTAAGAAAAAAATAAAAGGGTATTTTAAAACTGAATTTTCAAAATCATTAAATCAAATACTTTATGCTTCCATTATCCTCAATTTTTTACTTAAAAAATTTTAACCTACTTTTACTTGATTTATCAGGAATAATTCTTTTTTATTTTTTTTTAACGTTTATTTATTTTTGAGACAGAGAGAGACAGAGCATGAACGGGGGAGGGTCAGAGAGAGGGAGACATAGAATCTATCAGGAATAATTCTTAAATGGGGGCCAGACAGGGCAAAGAGTCATCACCTAATTCTAAGAGTTCTTGGAGGTTTCTCACAGCATTGTTCATTTCTCCAAGCCTAGTATAAACTTCATTCATTCGAGGATAGACTCCATTTAAAGAAGGCACATCAAATAATTTTTGGAAGTGAGAAACAATAGCTTGCAAAGTTTTTAAGTTTGGTATATTGCTGTCCTGTCCAAAAGAGAAAGAGAAAGATGGTCCACGTCTTAAAATAATCCCAAGGCTTTAATAAAAACTTTAAAGAGACATAGAATTCTAGTAGAATATCAATATCTGTATCAGTATCCATTTTTAAGATAAGATTACATTAAAATGTGAAAATTTACATAAGTATTAAGCATTACCTTTTCCTTATTTTCAACTTCTTCTAACATGGTATCTACTATAAATAACAGATCTTCAACTCTGATACCTTCATTTTCATCCTGCTTTTTTAAATTATGCCAAGGCACCAGTTCTGCAGACAGTATTTTCAAGGACTTATACAAATCCTTTATAACAAAAGAAACAACATGGTATTATTGATTTTTTTAAAAGTTTCCATAATGATAATAAAATACAGTAAAAACTTGGATTCCAAGTAACTTGTTCTGCAAGTGTCCTGCAAGACGAGCAAACATTTCTAATAAATTTTAAGTTGATAAGCTAGCGATGTCTTGCAGTACAAGTAGTATGTGATGCCAAACGTCACATCATCACAACTGAACCAATGGTCTCTCTCTCTCTCTCTCTCTCTCTCTCTCTCTCTCTAACTGAGGGATTGTGGGTGATCAGTCTCCCATGCTCGGATGCTTGGTCTCAGGCCATGGTGTTTGGCAAAAATCAGTGATTTTTCAGAACTTTGGAAGGTGCCCTCAACCAGCACTAGTGTATGTTTCGTCACTTCAAAGCACCTATGGACAGTCCTTTGCTTTTCCATACAAGAGTAAGCTTAGGAATGCATTGCTTCAATGCTAGGTCACTGAACAGGTTCCTTGTTAAAGTTGACCAAAACGAGAAAGATTCCATTTGAGCCAACAGACAGCAGTGATTCCGTTAGCGATAGTGGTATAACCCTCCTCTCTTTTGTCTCTCTCACACCAGCCACAAAGGTTTTCAAAGGTAAGTGCAGGTTAATTTATTTTTCTTTATTACTTTGTATTAGATTACAGTATTGTAATCATTTTTACATGAATATTTCTGGATTGTGGAACGAATGTTCTGAGTTTCCATGATTCCTTATGGGGAAATTTGCTTTGATATACAAGTACTTTGGATTACAAGCATGTTTCTGGGATGAATTATGCTCACAAACCAAGGTTTTACTGTAAAATTATCCAGGCAGGTTTAATATATATATATATATAAAACATTGGGCTCCTGAGTGGCTCAATCGGTTAAGCATC